CAGAGATTTGGCCTTTGTCTTGAATAGGGTTGGACAATATAACTGAAACTTTTATCACAATATATTTCTTAATTTCGGTTGTTAACGATATGGTATGGTATAAAGTTTATTCATTTGAAAAAGTACAAAACAATTCCATAACAATATAAAAAAGATACAAAAGATTTAAAATGAAAGGCTGCAGAAAGAAGAAAAAAATCTTATTATATCTGCCCCTTTTTTCAAACAATTATTTCAATCATAATAATTTTAAAGTAACAGAACAAAATATAATTCCTATATTGAAATAAACACCATAAAAGCCTCAGAATAACTGTACAAACTGTACAAATAAATTAATGTTCACCTTTTATTTGTATTTAGTAGGGGTGTAACAGTACGCTAAAATCACATTTTGGTTCGGTTCTGTTTCTAGGAGGGCTCGGTTAATTTTCGGTACAATAAAGGCCAAAATAAAAGACGTACAAAATGTTTATTTTGAAAATATGTCAAGTAAACAAGTTTAGTCATTACATACTTCTTAGCTGGAGGTGATCTGGTGAATGAAGAAGACTCAGCTCTTATCTCGTTGACATCCTCAGACTGCAAACAGCACAAAGAGATTTAAAAAAATTATGATGGTAAGAGTATAATTTTAAATAAAAAAAATAATTAGATCACAATAATACAATACCTCTTCTTGCACGGTCATCATATGAGGTGGTTGAATATTCTCTCTCGCTCATCATCATCAGGGCAGGGCTTTAAATCTGAGGTCGGGCTTATTGACAATCAGTTTTAGCTTTTTCATAAAGTTGTGCTACAACTTTTTGGCTGAAGTGTTGACGTGATGGGATGACGTAGGCAACGGGGCTCAAGAACTGATTCTTCCCCCAAACAGCTTATTCCAAAGTGGAATAAACCAGTTATGTTGGTGCTAAGATAAGATGCCCCTCCTCCGATGCCGGCCCTCTTCCTCGTCGACAGTCATGTCAAACTGGTTCAAAACCAAAAAAGTCCATGCTCAATAATCCAGGTATACAATCATAGCTGGATGGTATGATGACTTCAGAAGGAACATACACACGTACACCCCCCTTGAACGTAAGAGGATCTGTGGTGGAAGTGGTCTCCAGCTACAAATACTTGGGTGTACACATGAATGACAACCTCAACTTGAGCAACAACACCACCAGCCTGATCAAGAAAGCTCATCAGAGACTCTACTTCCTCAGGCGGCTGAGACAAGCTGGTCTGGAAAGCTCAGTCCTCACCTCCTTCTACAGGTGTACAGTAGGAATGCGCGATATATACGGTACACGGTAGAAACTATAGACATTTAGCCTACTATAGAGATTTGTCTTCTACCGGCTAACCACAGTAATGCTGTGTCTGATGTAAAATCAGAGTTGTCAGATTTAATTGTTAAATTTTTTTTGGTTGAAAACTCTGCGCATGTGGTGTTAAAGTATTTTCTTCGAGAGCTAAGTAGTGAAGCTACAAGCTAACTACGGCAGGCTTGCCGTAGTGTTGCCGTATTCGGACACATGCGTTAAATTCTGTGTTCCGTCGAAAGTTTTTTTTTTTTCCGTCGAAAGTCAAAGTAAGCGTTGGTCAGCTTTAGAGAAACCTGCTCTCTGATCTGTGAAAAGAACGCTGTTTTGTGTAATTTTACTGCGAGACCCTCTGGTCAAAGCCACAGACTCATTTTGTGTCAGCTCTCCATTAAAACGGAATGAAACGCGAACTAGAGGGTTGGAGGGTGAAGTGTTTCAGTGTAAAATGCTGCTTTGTTGCTGTTAATGTCTTAAGTGAAAATACTGGAAACTGTTAAGCGTTAACAACATATTTTTTTGTTTAAAACATATGGCTAAAACTACATTTTATATATTTTGCATTGTTTTGAACTACAAGAAAGAAGCCTAATACTTGATTTGTTTATTATTTATAAACTCTCTGGACCTAGTAGTGGAATTTTCTTAATTCAAAATAAATGTTGGCAAAAGGACTCCTTGTACTTTTTTTTACATTCCTATTTCAAGTTTTATACCAAAAGCATATCGTGATATATATATATCGTTATCGCCACCCTTCACAATACATATCGTGATATGAATTTTATGCCTTATCGCACATTCCTAGTGTGCAGTGTAGAGCACCCTGTGCTCCAACATCAACATGTGGCATGGAGGCTGCACAGCTGCAGAAAAAAAAGCTTTGCAGAGAGTGGTGAAGGCTGCACAGAAGACTGTTGGAGTCAGCCTCCCCACCATCACAGACATCTACACCTATAGATGCAGGAAGAGGGCCACCTGCATAATGAAGTAGCCCACTCACCCAGCACACACACTTTTTGTCCCGCTCCCCTCAGGAAGGAGGTTGAGGAGCATTAAGTGTAGAACAACTAAACTAAGGAACATCTTCTACCCTGAAGCTGTTAGACTCATGAATCTCTAACCAGAATAATCACTGTGAAAAATCACATCATGTTGCTGCTGATCTGTTCCATGTTGATGTGTTCATGCATGCTCATCTGCTCACACAGACTCATGTTCGTGCTGCTGTTTGGCGTTATGTTTTTATGCTATTAGTGCTTAGTTTTAGTTTGTTTTTCTTAGTTCATATCTTAGATGTCATTACTGTTTTTCTTTTACATTTTATTGTTGGATGTATCTGGGACTCTGTGTACATAATCTCGTTCCACCACATGTACCACGTGTGGTGGAACAACAATAAAGAATCTCTGACTCTGAAAACCCACAAAGGTTACTTAAACAACCTGAAACCAACAAAGGTGAGAATGAAAAATAAAACAAAAAACAAATCAATGAAAATCAGCCATTGTTTGGAATGTTATCAGAATTAAAAAATAAAAATCAGAATAATAGTAACAGATCATCCCATGAGAACCAACGAGTCCAGAACAATTTCCATAGAGATTAGAGGTAAACTTCAAGGTCAAAGGTCATCACTGTCAGGAGTTAATTGAAGAGGACTGAGGAGGACATCAAATTAGGGCTGGGCCATATCATTCACAATAATACTGGTTTAAAAAAAACTTGCCTGGAAAAATAAATTATATCATGATATATTAATTTCATGGCATAAATACTTCAGTGTTTCCCCTACAAGCGGGGCGCCCCGCCCCGTTAATCGAACAAGGCATGCCGCCTACCGAACCGAACTGCACCCCCCCACCCCCCCAAACACACACTTGTCGGTACTGACATAATGCTAAGCTAGCCATGCGCAATATTAGCTAGCTAAAAAACTAAAAACATTGCTCACGCTGAAACCCCTCGCCCCCACTCAAAAACTGCCGATACAAGCAACACGCAGCTCCGTCTTCACACCCCTCCCCATCCGAGCTGCCTCAGACAGAGGAGGAGTGGATCAGGGTCAGGGACACTGCTTAAAGACACATTATCACATCGTGTCATACGATGAATCAACGTTGAGAATACTAAAACTAGGTCTTTCTCTTCCTCAATGACCGGTCACAGTACGAGTCATGGAACAGTTTATCGTTCTCAATTACAGTCCGTAATAAGAACAGATTAAAATGTCTAAATCTACTCTGAACAGATGACGCATATGAATGCATGAAACACATTGCCTCGATAACGTTCTTTGAACAGATGAGACAAAACTGGAGCTTTTTGTTCACAGACCCTAAAATGAGGCATTAAACTAAGAAAAGGACATATCAAGCTGAGAGTACCAGCCTTTTAAAAGTTTCATTAGTTTTCTTTAACGCTCTGGTGAACCAACACTGTAAAGCAATAAATCATTTTCACCTGTTGATGTTTTATATATATTTTTCTCATTATTACTTTAGCCATTTTCAAGTTATTTCATTGACCTTTGTGGGTTTTTAACAAGCTGTTACAAACTAATTTGATTGCATGTGTATGTGTGGAGAAGACATTGTAAAACACAGTTTGTATTTAAGATAAAACAAGATGTACCAATGTAGATATTAATTTATCACTCGAAAAAAAAAATACGACTATCTTACACTGAATTAAAGATGGGACTGGATTTTAAACATTTTGCTGTTAATAAGTTTACATCTAAAGAGTGAATCACATTTCAAGTGTAGTTTTGACCTCACACTTACCGTACATGTTGAAGCCAAAACATTTGTTTTATAAAAGCACATATCTCTACTACGGTACATAAAAATGTTTTTTAAATGTACGTATTCCCAGTTGAGCACCCAAACCATGCTTTCTGTGTGGGAACATATGCTGGCTCAGCCTTCTAACCTGATTTGTTGGTGCCAGCTGCAGAGCAATTTGCACCAAATAAAGTTAAGTCTTTTCTTGAAGGGAAATGGAACAGTCATAAAATACCAATCCCTCTGTTTATTTTAACAATATTTCACTAAAAGAAAACAAAGAGGGTTGCCAGATGTTGGTAGAAAAATCATCTTTTAGGTTCTTGTAACTGGCTGTCGTGTTCTGGCTTTGTGGCCCAGGCCGGACAACTTTATTAGCCCATCAATTTATTTGTGCCGTGTTGCTGTAGCTAGGCTTGCAACGTCTGGTTTATCGTAACCATAAAAAATGTTAGTGACAGAAGAACAATTGGTTCAAATTCAGTCAGACAGAAACAAGGAGAGGGGGTGCACAGAGCTATTATAAAGTTGGGTGTTTAATAGGTCCCCCGCCACACTACTCGTCATCCCATCAGTCAGGTTTAAGAGCATGGGGGGGCCCGGCAGCAGCTCCAGCAGCCCTCTGGGACCCGGTATAGCTCAGGTTGAAATGACACATCCTGACATCTTAAATTCAGCTAGATTAAACTCACCAGACAAGGAAAAGCCAAATCACTGCTGAGCTGTTTTAGGCCCTTTTCCACCTACTTCTTTGCCCTCCCATGTTCCCCTTAAACGATCCTCGGAGACCAAAGATTCATTCTTTTATCTGAGGTCTGAAAACTCCAAATTATATTTATAATTCATAACAAAGTACAAATGATCTAACCACTGTGCCTTTGTGTCCCTTTTCTACCCACAGAGAAAAGCTGATGAGCTGAGTATGCACAACAACCCTGACATGAGCAGTTTGAGTGGTGAGTCCGTTAGAACCTCCAACCTCACCCCACTACCCAAAATGCTCCACAAACGGTACCATGGACCATTGATGAGGTCCAGACCTTACAGTCTTTATTGGCGGATCAGAGGATTCAGTGTGAGCTGAAGGGCACGACAAGAAACCACTCCCTGTGCATTGACGATCCTGCCCACACTCTTAACCCGAACTAGTTGACTTTAGTAGAAAATCGCTTGGAAACCCGTTGCCTTAAACCATTCTAGTTTTTACACAAAGAAGAAACTAATCATGTTTAGTTGTGTTAACTTAGAACCTCAGTACAATGTAGTAAACACATTTAGTAATTTTAGTACAGATTAGTATATAACTACTACATAAATAGTAGTTTGTTTTTAATTTTGTACAGCACTTCAGACGGCTGCTTGTTGTATTTTAAGTGCTTTAGAAATAAATTGGTATGGTACCGTAAGTTAACACAACTAAACATGTTTAGTTTCTTCTTTGTGTAAAAACTAGAATGGTTTAAGGCAACGGGTTTCCACGCGATTTTCTAGTCAAGTCCACTTGTTCGGGTTACGAGCGTTAGTTGTATAAAATTATTTTAAGCTAAATTTACATAATCATATAAAGCAAATAACCAATATAACATTATTTAAAGCTACTTATAATGTTTTGTATAACATTTTTTCTAATGTAATTAATTACCCTTTTGATATTCACATTGTATTGAATGCAACACTAAATTTTACAAGAGGAAAAAAAAACATTTTAATGTTCCAATTTATTTTATTTTCACAAAAAAAATGCTGCACAAAACATTTAAAGTGTAACTTGTCATCAAGCTTGTCACAAGTAAAAAAAATAAAATAAAAATTGGTCTTAAAACATTAGCCATAAAAAAAAAATTGCCATCCAAAAGTCAAGTAAAAATAGGAAATAAAAGTGCTTGACATCGTTATAAATTGTTGAAATAAGGAATACAAACACAACAGCTTTCATCAGTTTATATATCCTTGTGAATAACTGGACACAGTAAAATTAGACAGTCTTCTAAATCTTCAACTTGAAAAGGAGCTGATGAAATGTGATAAAGGTAAGATTTAGCACGTTTTATGTGAATGTACAGTTCGTGTTGTTGGTAAATGCAGGCAACTGAAGCAATAAATTCCTGAAAACATGATGCAAAATATTTAGTGATGTTGCTGTTAAGGAAGAACTTCATGTTATTTCAGCTTAAAATTGTAGTGTTCCTCTCTGTGCAGACAAGGAGTGTGGTGGATGTGGGCTCATGAAGGCACTTACTGCATAGCTCTGTGAGCAGGAAAACTTTTCTGGTCAATCGAGCACACACGTTTCAATTTACTGCTTCAACTGACTACATTTACCATCAACACTGACTGGACATTTACATGAAACATGCTGAATTTTCCTCAAACTGTATTATATCAACTGAGTTTTACTATCCAGTCCTGAGCATACACTTCTAAATCTCATACTGTAGATCACAAGTGTCTGGACATTCATGTCGCTCATAACCGCCTTCAGGTTCAATGAAGGAGGATCCCAGTGTCAGTGTTGCAGAATGAGTCATCATCATCCGAGTTCTTGATAAATGACAAGTGCACAAAAGAGATATTTTTAATTAAGTGACCATCAATAATTGATCAAAAATAATTTCCATAAACCAATTACAATATTTGACATATTATCTGTTTTATCATAACTAGTTTCCTTGTTTAAATTGTGCATTAGTTTGAGCTCCACAAAAGGACATCAGGTGCTAGTGGTGAGTGGAATGATACCTTATTCTTTCATTTGTTAATAGCTATGCTCACAGGTTTTATTCAAATACACAACTGTCATCAGGGTTCTCACACCTGTCTGTCTAGGCCCAAATCCTGACATGAACCTGACACAGCATAACATAAGACATAAATGAAGATTAAAGGGATAGTTTAGATTTTTTTAAGTGGAGTTGAATGAGGTTCTTACAGATGGTCAGCATATTACTTACAGTAGATGGTGGTCAGCCTTCCCCCACTTTGGACAAGCAGCAGGAGGATCAGTGTAGGAAGATAAGCAATGCACTTTTGTGGACATGCTCGGCAGCAGTTTGTACTTTTAGACATCTTGAAATATCTATAATAGTTTGAGTAGACACTAGGGGTGTAACGGTACGCTAAAATCACATTTCGGTTCGGTTCATTTTCGGTACAAATAAAGGCCAAAATGAAGACTTACAAAATGTTTATTTGGAAACTATGCCAAGTAAACAATACGTTTGTATAAAAATAAATAAAAGCGACCCATTTGGATGATATTTTAAATAAACGGCACTCTTTACAATAAATAAACTATACTAAGAATTAGGAATGCGCGATATAAACGGTATACGGTAGAAACGATAGAAATTTAGCCTACGATAGAGATCTGTCTTCTACCGGCTAACCGCAGTAATGCTGTGTCTGATGTAAAATCAGTGTTGTCAGTTTAATCGTTACTTTTTTTGGTTGAAAACTGCGTAAGTGGTGCTCAAGTGTAAAGTCAGCCCTGTCAGATTTAATTACTTTTTTTTTTTTTTGTTAAGAACTGTGCGCAAGTGGCGTTAAAAACTTTTCTTCGAGCGCTAAGTAGCGAAGCTAAAAGCTAACTACAGTCGGCTTGCCGTAGTGTTGCCATATTCTGACGCATGCGCAAAACATTGTGTTCCGTCGAAAGTATTTTTATTTTATTTTTTCTCATTGAAAGTTAAAGTAAGTGTTGGTCAGCTTTAGAGAAACCTGCTCTCTGATGTGTGAAAAGAACGCTGTGTTGTGTGATTTTACCGTGAGACCCTCTGGTCAAAGCCACAGACTCATTTTGTGTCAGCTCCATTAAAGCAGAAGGAGGCGCCCACTAGAGGTTTGGAGGGTGAAGTGTTTCAGTTGCTGCTCTGTTGCTGTTCATTTTTTAAGTAAGTCTGGAAACTGTTAAAAGTTAACAAAATTTTCTTCTGTTTAAAACATATGGCTAAAACTACATTTGATATCTTTTGCACTGTTTTGCAAATTTTGTTTTTGTTATCGCACATTCCTACTAAGAATAATAAAAATCTTAATAAATACAATAACAGTCAGAAGCAGAACAAGAAGCAGCAACAGACTGTTTACAATCCAACTAATAAAGCTTAAAGTTTTTGGCCAAAAAGACTAACTTGTCCACATTTTCTGCCAAAAGCTCAGATCTAGTTGCAGTGAATATCTCCAGCGGTGGAGAAAACTGCTCACTAACAACAGTCACAGGAATAAAGAGGTAGAGCTTTGCTAATTTTGCAGTGTGGCTGGATTTGGCCTCATCATTACTCACAACCTCTTGGACCTGCTCCCTCAGGTGGGACAGGTCCCTGGAAAGTTCAGAGTTCAGTCATCACAGACTTCTTAGCTGGAGGTGATCTCTGGTGGATTTCACTGAAGAGGAGGAAGACTCAGCTGCTATCTCTGTCCCAGACTGGAAATAAAACACAAATAGGTAAAAATAAAATGAGTTAATAAGATTATAATTTTAAATAACTAAAAGTTAATTAGATAATAATATTAAAAGAACAATACCTCTTCTTGATAAGTTATGAGGTGGTTGAATCTCTCGGTCATCATCATCAGGACAAGACCTTAATCTGGTCCAGGGCTTGTTGACAATCAGTTTGTGCTGCTACAACTGTTTGGCTGAAGTGTTGACGTGATGGGATGTTGTATTGGGGCTCAATAACTTTAAAGCTGGTGCATCAACAACAGAAACGTTGATCCAGAGCTTTAAAAACTCGTACAGATTGTGTTATTGCTCTGGACCGATCTGAATTACCTGATAAAGGTTGTTTAAATGCTGCTGTTATCAGTCTTTGCACCAACCAAGAAGAGACGTTCACATTCAGATGATGTTGTTTCAAGAGTGTTAACAAGTTAAGACATGTTGCTGCTGCAGATCCAATCTCTGTGAAACAACGTCAACACACAGCTTTGAATTTACACTTGTCTTTTAACAAGAAAGCCATAATGTTCCCAAACAGGAGACCGTAACGAGAAGCTAATGCTAATGCTGCGCGTGCTGCAAGATAATAGTGCCGTGCTGAAACACGCTTAGGAACTTTAGTTCCACGATGCATAATCTCTCGTTAATAACATTTAATTAATGAAAAAAATAACCGTAGCGATACGCACGTGGACCGAACCGAACGTGCCGTACCGAAAGGGTTCGGTACACCGACGTGTACCGTTACACCCCTAGTAGACACATATTTAGTATATTTTCAGCGCCTTACATTGCTGTCTTGAAAGACTTTTCAGACTTGAAATGTAAGTTATAGAGCTCTCTTCACGCCAACCAAATGCCATAGACAAAATTAATAATTTTACCTCACAGAACACAAGAGTTACTGGTCTGTTAGTTTGTGTTATTGTGTGATAACGGTGAATCCAAACCAATTAAATAATAAAAAACACAAACGGATCGAGGTAAAATGACAAATTATGCTTATGGAGTTTTTTTGGTTGGGCAGGAGCAATATTTATTTAACTTATAAAAGAGTGATTTTATGTCAGAAGCCTGATTGACAGTAAGGTAAAGCAGTGAAAATATTGTATATATATAATGTATACTTCACTGATACTGATTTTTTTAGGTGGCTAAAACAATCCAAAATAGTTCATTCTGGTCCTCTGGGCATTCAAAATACAAAAAAAAACAAAAACAAAAAAAAACAAAGCAAAAAAATGTAGAAACGTTTCGTCTCATCCGAAAGACTTCCTCAGTCTGAGAAAGACGGAGACTCGTCCCAAGCTGCGCAGCGTGCTGTTTAAACCAACAGTTTTGGGGGACACAGAGACAGCCGCGTTCTGTTTGTACCGACAGTTTTCGAATGGCCGGGGTGCGTTCAGCGTGAGGGTTCAGCATGAAGGAAGATGCTGCCTTTAGCTATTTAGCTAGTGCACCTGCATTGCAAGCCGCTAGTTTAGCGTTACGTCAGTGCCGACAGGTGGTTGGGGG